GGCTCAGCGCACTGCTCTGCCATGGGGGCGCTACCCACCGCCCCAGTGCCCCGGCACCCACCCCTGCGATCGGTGTCCTGACCCGCTTCTCCCGCCTGGGGAGAGTCTGGGCACCCTGCGGTCTCCGGGGTGCCCCCGTCCACCACAGCCCGAGGGAATGTCAGGGTCAGCGTGGAGGCGGGAGCGCAGAGTTGCGAGAGCCCCTGGTATTTATTGAGCGCGCTGCCCTCTCTCGTTCGTGGTGGTGCCGGAGGCCTTGGTGGGCAGGATGTTAACTATCGACTAATCGAATAGCTGATGCAGTTTTGCATCGACTATTTGATTAGTCGATAAGGGTGCCTCGGCCTTTGAAGTGTAGCAACAGCCAGCTCGAGGGTCCCCAGGCTGCACTTGGCGTTTCAAAGCGGCAGCCCCGATCAGCTGGGGACTCCCCCACTGACTCCAGGCTCCATGTGGCACTTTCGCGTTTGAAGTGTAGCAACAGCCGCTTTGAAACGCCAAGTGCAGCCTGGGGACACTCTAGCTGGCCCTGGGCTGCATGCGGCAGCGCTGCGTGGAGACTGGGGTCTGGCCTCAGGCTTCGAGCGGCGTTGCTGCTTTGAAGTACCCCTCCTCCTGGCCACTGCCTCTTCTGAGGCAGCAAGGCTGGGGAGGGGAGGGGAGTGACTAGTTGACTAACCTGTTGACTAGTCCTTCACATCCCTGCTTGGCAGAGGCACAGATGATCAACTGTGCCCATGCCACCAGCCTATCCTTTTTTTAATAAGATGAGTTGGGAGGGAGTGATCCTCCTGTTTCCAGGGCATTGTCAAAGAGAGATTGGAGACCTTGTTCGGGCTGTGCATGGGGACCTGAAAGAGATTAGTAGAGCCCTGCATGTATATAAAATTTACATCTGCATCTCTGTCTGCAAAAATGAGCTACAGCTGTCTGCATCCACATCCATAGATGCAGATACCCGTGGATATAAAGTGGATATTTGCAGATTTGCAGGGTTCTAGATATAAAATTTGTATCAGCATCTGCGTATATATCCATAAGAATGAGCCATGAGGTGGATACCCATGGGTAAAAAGTGGATATCTGCAGATTTTCAGGGCTCCGGAGATTAGCGATGGAAAAATGCAGATTGACTATGGGGATAAAGTCCTGACTCTGGCATTGAGCTAGTTGGGGAATAGCCCCCCCCCAAAGTGTGTGGGAGCCCCGAAACTAAGGATACATGAAACAAGACTGGATAATGCTCTAGTAAATGCTCTAGCTAGGTCCTGATCTTTTCCATCTCTGTTCTCTCCAATCTTCAATCAAATGATCAGGAGCCTTTCTCAGTGGTGCTAAGAGGCAGTTGCTGGTCGGAATCCACACTAACCAGCCTCTCTCTTCACAGCACGTGAGCAGAGAAATGGTGTTTGTGCCTGGCCTGTCGCTCACCTGACTTGGCAGCTATTGCTGATCATGGGTCTGAAAGCTGAGCCCCGAGCTGAGGAGACAGCCGTTAGAGTGGCTGTGCGCATTCGACCCCTGCTGCCCAAGGAGCTGTTGCATGGGCATGAGACCTGCCTCCATGGAAACCCAGAGACCAAGGAAGTGACCCTGGGGCGTAACCGCCATTTCCACTTTGATGCTGTCTTTACTGAATCCTCCGATCAAGAGTCAGTGTATGGTGCCTGCGTGCAGCCGCTGGTCGAGGCCTTCTTTGAAGGCTTCAACGTTACTGTGTTTGCTTATGGCCAGACAGGCTCGGGCAAAACCTACACCATTGGGGAAGCAAGTGTCTGTGAGTATCTGAAGAAGTAGCACTTTCCCACCCCCCCGATGAATGTATAACAATAGTTCCTTCCTCCATCCACTGCCTGGCTGTCACGAGGGCACCAGGATCCCTTTTAGGTAGAAGCAGAAAGGACTTCTTAAGCTAGTTTAGTAACAGTAGCATGAAAAGCTGGTGATGGTCAACACCCAGGCTGAAAAATGAAGTAGGCAAAAAGTTGAGGAAATTCAGAGGCTCCTCAATTTGACCATCCTGCCTATCATTCACCTGAGTACAAGCAAGAAGATTGTTTTGTGATTTTTCTAAGGGTGCTTTCACCTTTGATTTTCCTTAATTTCCTTAATTTCTCAGGGTTGTTCTACACTAAAAACTTACATCAGCATAGCATTGTCTCTCAAAGTGTAAAAAATCCACACTCCTCAGAGATGCCAACCTAACCTCCTGTATAGTACTAGGACGACAGTAGAATTCTTCCATCAACCCTAGCTACTGCCTCTCAGGGAAGTGGATTAACTGCATAAATGGGAGAACTTGTTCCCATTGCTGCAGGAGTGGGAAACCTATGGCCTGAAGGCTGGATCTGGCCCCTGGCTTCCGTGGATCCGGCCTCCAGCTTGGGGCTTCTCTTCTGCCCCGTAGCAGGCACAAGCGCTCAAGTCTCTCTACCTCGGCATCCCCCAATGCACCACACAGCTGTGGTGTCCCAAGTGTGATACTGTGTCTTTTTTTTCCCCTCGGGGGGCCAAGCCAATGAGATTTCTTTCTTTTTCTTTTTGTTTCTCATGGGCCAGGCCAGTGAGGGTTTTATTGGTTGGTTGGTTTGCTTTTCACAGGTGTGTGATCCCTGAAGGATATTTCTTTGGGTCAGTGGCCCCCAATCCAAAACAGGTTCCCCTCTCTTGGTTTACACTGAAGCTGCAGCAGTACTGCTGTAGTGATTTCAGTATAGACATACCCTAGATCAGCCTTTAACAGAAAGAGTTTTGCATTTATTTTCATTGTAGGTTTCTATTGTACACTTTCCTTTCCCACCTTTTCTTGAGCTACTCTTGTTCACTTCCCATAAAAGCTTTTATGCCTCAAGGCTGGCTGTTTTGATACCTACGGCATCTTAAGATATTTACTGCATATGTGCAGAAAGGTAACATCATAGCTATAAAAATACTGTATTGCTTTTATATCTTTAGACTTGGCTTGACTTTTCTTTTTGCATTTACGGGTACTACCTTCATGCCAGGCTTGAGGCTTATAACGTCAGATGGTTTGGGGCTATTGGAGATTCCCCAAACTTAAATTAATTTTAAAAAATTCTCAGCCCGGTAGAATTTTTTTTTTCCATTACAGAAAGTTCTGAGCAGTGCTGGATCCAGAGGAAATCACATTTCACCCTCAGCCATAATGTTTGCTAGCTACAGGTATTAGAATTTACTTTTCTCTCTGTAGGAAAACACTTTCCAACTCCATACATGCATTACCTCTAAGAATATGTCTTTACTGCACAGTTAATCTGGGTTCTCTACCATGTTTTAGCCCAACCTTGTGACTTTCCACACAGATCTCTGACCCAGGTTCGGCCTGAGCTAGTTTACCTGACAAGGTAGGAGATTAGAGCCAGACCTTGTTTTTGCGTAGGCTGTAGCCTGTCCATTTTTCAGTGAATATTCAGCACTCAAGTGCTGTTAACCCTCCAGTGCCTTCCCACAATTCCCCTCAAAGGACAGACAGATTTTCCTGCAATTCACACAACTAGGTGGGAAAGAATCCTGGAGCCATCTCAGAACAAAGAACTGTGAGATGTGCCTCCAGACATGAGGGAGAGTTCAGAAACAGTGAGGGCGTGGATGTAGTCTGGCCATGGGAACTCTTAACCTAGCCTGAGTGTAACTTGGGTGCTCAGACCAGGATAGGTTAATTGTGCTGTGATACCTTAAG